TTAACTCACCTACTTACCATCACAACACGAACCGAAATAGTTTAATAATTGACATCTATTTCTTTTCGTGAAATCGAACATCCTATTTATTACTATTAGAAAATAGATCGTTAATATAAAGAAAAATATAAAAAAAAAATTCGAAAAAAAAGATCAATTTTTTAATAATGATAAGTAGGGAAGATCCTTGCCTACCAAAAAATATATATATATATTAATTAATTAGTAACTTTAAAAAGAATAAATTCTGCCGACATGAATATGATTTAATAGTAATTGACATATACTCTAGGTTGGAGATTGGATCTTTCATATCTCCTAAATTGTTGTACTAAAATATTAATAATAATGAATTTTAAATTTTGTGTTTAATATAGTTTAAAAAACAAAGGGTCTAAAATATCTTTAAGTTTACAATTTTGTATCTAATAAGAAAAAAAATAATACAAATATCTATAGTCTCTAAAATTTTTAAATAAAATAATTATTTTGGTCTTTAGAATTTCAAAATGTTTAATTCAGTTCCTCATCATTAAAAAAAATCATTTTTTATAATTGTTTGCCTAATACTCGCCTCAACCAATTTAATATACCTTTAATATAATTATATAATATATATGTCCACATTAGTTTATTATTAAACATGCTCGAAGTTGTTTTATCTATTTATTAAAATAAAATAAATTAAAGTATTAAAATAATTATTTTAATGGATATTTTAAAATTTAGGTAAAAAATAAAGTCACCCCGCTTAAGAAACAAAAGGGATATTTTGAAAGTAGGGTTTATAATCAGTTTTGTATAAAGTAAAACCCATCAAATTTGGTTTTGTTCATGAACCAAAGTAGCTTTTTGAGAATAATAATTTTCTTGTTCTTTAAATAAAAATTCAATTAATATATATATATATATAGACAATTGTTTCCATTTTTTTAATTTACGTTATACTTCAATTTTATTTAAAATAAAATTGAAATACAAGTTCAGTGTTTACGAGTTTATAATTGGACCCTCAAATTCTCATTTTAGGAACTTTTTAGAAATCTATATTCTCAAATAGTTTCATAAAAAAACTCGTCCAATCCGTTAACAAAATTCATTTATTTCACGTAACATGTTCACCCATCCAAATATATTAACAAAATAATAATTGAATCATACATACCGTTTCTTTTAACAAATATTAATAGACTTTTCTATGAATAAAATTTAACCTATCAAAGGTAAATTTGGGTTTTACTAGAAATGAAGGAAAATTTAGAAATTAAAAAAATAATAGTATTTGAAAATAAAAAACCCATTTAGTTTTCATTTGTATAATATATTTGTAATTTAGAAGTTAAATAGTGTTGCTAAATCTCATCCACAAGGAAAATAATAATTAAAAAAAGGAAAAAGAAAAAGAAAAAGGGACATTCTATGATTTTATTAGGAAGTGGGAAGCATGGGGAATAAGCATGTGAGAGAGAGAGAGAGAGAGAAGTGGAGTGTGTGATTTTACATCGCTGCCCCTAACATTATATTGTTAGTGGGTCCCACATTTGTCCTATTTGAACTTTTTTCTTATTTTGGGGTTTGTTGTGTTTTGTTTAATCTCGTGAATGCTTTCTCTTTCATCTGTCTCATTGTCTCTCTCTCCTCCCTGCGCCACTCCCGACCAACCCACTTCTCACGCTCACGGGTTTATAATATATAATATATATATATATCATTATATATATTATCTCTTTATTTATAAGTAATTGGTTATATTACGCGAACTTAAACTTAATTTATTGGTAATTTCTATATTTGTTTGGTCAAGTGATTATAAATGTGGTTTTAAATATCCGTCGACACATTGATATATCCATGTTTTTATGAGTTTGACATTGACATGAGGGTTGAATTAACATTTTCATCATAGTACAAGAAAATCAACAAAATATGAAAAATTTCAACAAAATGTCGCTAATATATATTAATATTAATTATTTTTAATTAATTTAGAAATAAGAAAATATTTATTTAAATAATTTCTAATTTCTACAAAAATATCCATTGACATCGACATTTTATGCATATTCCCATCGATATTTCTATGAAATTGAGACCTCGATATTTTTATCGACATCAACATTTAAAACGTTGGTGATAAATTGCACTTGTTGTACTTTAAAACAAGATTGACTACATTACTGACAAATACCTATATGTTTTTCAAAAATATATTTATTATTTCAAAAATTTCAATATTATCCTTATGCATCCTTCAAAAATATATTTATTATTTCAAAAATTTCAATATTATCCTTATACATCCGTTAATATTTTGAAAACGTGGAAAAATCTAGAATGACGTGACAATTGTATGGAACAATTAACTTCACAACAACAAATTTGACATTTAGTATGATCAAATCAATCGTGGGCCTGTCATTGTTTCCACCTGTGAATTTTTTTTACCATCATTAAAAGTTAAATTTGTTGTAGTGTCATCTAATTATTCCCAAAAAACTTTAATTAATTAAAATGCTGATCTACCAAGTTAACGTTTTTTTTTTCTTTAGTACAATATTTGAGGGCGGGATCAAATACACGATCATTTTTATCGGAGATACATGCATTAAAATAGTTAGACTACTTGATTAACTTTCTATTTAAAATATCGACGTTTTTTAAGGCAATATTGAAGTTTTTAAAAGGGTGTGATATTTTTGAAACGAAGGGAAGACACCCGGATCGGCCATCCCCTCCCCAAAGAAAGATTAAGCGGGCTGCCGGCCCGACTTCTAAATTAATAGCTTCATTTATGACAGCTAAATGAATCAAAGTTCGAATCGGGCTGCCCAAAGAAATACAGATCTAGGCCCAATAAACCTTTCTGGATCAAGTTGGCCCAACCAACAAAGACTAAGCCCATGATCCAGCCCATGCAAAGCTTATTAGAATAAGGCCATTCGCCCATTATATTGAACTTCTAGTTCAAAGCTTTCGGTTGGGTAAGTACAAATCAATCTAGCATAGTTTTATAATAAGTGCTTTATTTTCCATTCACTAGGTCTCTTTTTTTTTCCTCTTATTTTTTAATACAACAAATTAAGGGTATGAAAGTTCCAACCTCCGATCTCACAAAAGAGTAGATGTAAATTACCACCAAGATATGCTAATTTTCACTCGATTTACTAGTTTATACAAAATATTAATAAAATAAAACCTTAACAAATATTTACAATTTATAGCAAAATATAGAATATGGATCTCAACGGATGACATGGAATCTCAGAGGAATTAGATGCTGGAGGTTGGTGTATTCAAGTGAACAACATTTAGATGTTTATTGGTCAACGCTCATGCTCATTTTTATTCTGACCACCAATAAAAATCTGATAGTTGTTTAGTTTTTTAAAAAATATAAAAACATTTTTTAATGAATTTTTCTCTCCTACTTATCAAAAATTTAATCTTGGTTAACAAAAGACTTCCGGCTGACCCATAAACTAAGTATTTTTCTTTTCAATAACAAACTTTACTAACTCTATATCATAAATTTAATATGCATTTCTAAAGTCAATCTAAACATAACTAAACATAACTGAACTTGTTAAGACATATATTCTTAACCAAATTATCGAAAATTCAAATCCTCACTCTCACAAACAAACACAACTTTCTAGTATTAAATTATATTGGAAGGAGTCATTTATGTAGCTATCTCTATTTTCAATTACTTTTTGAAAAATCTATATTTGTAAAAATTTAAAAACAATTATGCTATGCATTGAAATTTCACAATAAGGGTTTGGCCTACAGTCTAGTTTATAGCTTTCATGTCTTCTAGGAGTATGGTTCTAAATATCGATCAACACGTCGATATTTTCATTGACATGTTTATGTTTTCATGGTTCGATATCGACATGAGGGGTAAATCGACATTTCCATCATACTACAAAAAAATCGACAAAATATAAAAAATATGAACAAAATGTCACTAATATATATATATATATATATATATATATATATATATATATATATATATAATATCAATATTTATTATTCTTTAACTTATTTAGAAATAAGAAAATATTTATTTGTTATTTTAAATATTTTTTACAATTTTTTAATTTCTATAACTTTTACAGAAATATCCATCGACATCGATATTTTATGGATATTTCCATAAAATTGAGACATCGTTATTTCCATCGACATTGACGTTTAAAACTTTGTATAGGATGCAATAAAACCTCAATCAACTAATGCCGCTATTTTAAAAATATATTGAAAACTAACAAGTTAAATGGTACTCTTTTATTGGATAAAATTTAATAGCTATTTTGAGATCCAAATATTAATGGGTTCACTTTATATTTTGGAGGTGTTTTCATGCAAACATGTTTGAAGGTTTGAACTCACCACCTCTCGATTTAAAATATATGTCAATTATCGTTGAGTGGTATTGAGGTATTCAGAAATTGAAACTCAAATTTGACTTTTTGGAATTTGTAACATTTAATTAATTTTATATATTAATATGTACATCATTGTAATTGTCAACATTTATGCTTCGTTTGACATCTGAATTTGTAGGAAATGATTTCAACTTCCATGATTTTAAATGAATGAAAATGATTTCAAATTCCTAATTACGTTTGGAATCAAAATATGGTAAATCATTAAAATTAAAATTTATTGCTTGGATGTTTACGAGAAATGGAAAAAAGGTATAACATTTTACTATTATGCCCTTAATATTTTGTAGAATATTATATTATTAATAATATAATTTTTTAATATAAACTAGTACTTTCAACCACGAAAAACATAAATAATTTAATCAAATTAACCTAACAAAAATTAAAACCTGTCAATGTTACATTCATTTTAAAAACTAAACAAAAAAAAAAACTTGCAAATTTTTCTTATTCAAATACTAGAAAAATTCTTAAAATCAAATTATTTCAATTTATTCGCAACAATTTGTTTCTTTTTTATTTTTGTCATAGTTATTTTATGATATGCAGTAAAAAAAATAAAAGCAAAAGGAAAAAAAGACGAAAAATATACCTAAAAAACAACATATAAACATCTAAACAATATTGAAATATAAAGAATCTTAAATACACCAAAAACAAAATAGAAAATCTATCTTTGTTACAGTGGTGTTATATAAAAACAAAATCTTTGTTACAGTCGTGATGCAAAAAAAAAAAAAAATCGAGTTTATAGAATAAAAGAAAAAAGAACTAGGAAGAAATCAAATTTTGAAACTAATTTGATTGATGATGTACAAATAAAGAGGTTAGAGTGCTAAGTTTTTATTCATGTAGGGTAAAATCGAAATTTCTTACATTTAAAGTTAAAATCCTTACACATCAAACCTATTTCGAACCAAAAATATTTAAACCAAAAACATAATTCAAAATCATTTAGTATTTCAAATTTTTTTTTCTTTACTTATCCCAAGAAATGAAGATTTTGAAATCCCTAATTGGAGGTTCAAACAGGGGTTAATTACAAAGTTTAATGGTAATATAAAATTTTGTAATCACCACTCCCCACGGCTATATATAAATTAAAGGGACTCTTCCTCCCTTTCTAATTATATTTTATTTTGTTAATTAAACTCATTTGAATATATATGAAATGACATATCAATACTAAAATGCCATGGCAAGGGAAGATTAATATCTAATTTCTTCTATTGCGATAAAGAATAATATTTCAAACATACTGATAAACTTACAGAGACTAATTAAAATTTACCGAACTTTCCATTCAAATTCACATTGATTAGTGAAGTGAATGATTCAAAATATATGAGAGAAAATAAATTGTCTTGATAAGTATAAAGAATTTTGAGTGAAACTAAAATGATGACGCGAGTGTTATGCCTAAAGCAGGCAATATAATATGGCATAGAGCTTTGAGAAGAATTGATATCTGTTGTTATGAATTGGACTCTCAAGCCTCGAGGTTGATGTACTAAAAAATAACAGTGGAATATTATTGAAACTAAACCAAATGCAAACCATCGAACTTCCGTGGAAGCTTGTTACAACGACCAATTTAGCAATGTTCGACAAGAGCCACCTCCCTTGAACGTCACAGATCAAATATCTTGCCAGAAAAAGAAGAAAGAAACAAAATAATAGCTTTAATTGGAATCGGAATCCCCATTTTTTAGGAATTGGACAAAATCCTCAACGTATCGTTGATGAAGCTCGGTGTTCCCAAAAATGGCGGCAGCCTCCATTGCTCGCCTCCTAAATAATAATGATGAGATGATAAACAAGAAAAGTAAAAAAAAAAAAATGAAAATTATATTGTTTACTATGCTGCAAGAAATAAATTAGGTTTGAAGCAGTACTTTCATAAGACGGTGACACGACAAAATGTCATAATAACAAGTTCTCCGGGGTACGATTATGTCGATTATAACTAAAATTAAAGTCACTAGGTGCAATTTACTCCTAAATTTTTAGAACATAAAACATCAAAACCAAAAGCTATTTCCTTCCGAAGAAATTCGGACATGAAAACTATCACAAGATATTGTATCTTCAAAACACGATATTTATTATCAAAATAAACATAGCTCAGTGGTAATTGACATATACCTCTAATCATAAGATTGTGAAAGACTCCTTGTTCATTTCTTTCAACTTCAATCGTAAGGCCCTTCTCCACCAGAAGCCTCGCATTTAGCGGTTGATTAATGATGAACGACAATACTACAACGCAGTAATACCCGAATTGCAGAACTTCAATGGCGGATCCCCACCCCGCGTGAAACAAACACCCTCCGATCGTCGGATTCCCCAAAATTTCCACCTACGGGGCCCACCCCATACTCTTTAATTGATTTTGAAAGAGTGTACCAATCGACACCGATCGATTCACTTCTTAAATCGAGTTTTTGTTGATCGGATCGGTTTTTCGACTTGATTTGATCCCCGTGGTTGTGTCAAGTATTTTTCAGAGTTAGCACAGCAATGTTTTCCTTTGTTTTAAAAAGGGGTAGTTCTAGTACACTCAATAATTTTTAAAAAACATAACAAATCGAAACCAAAAGCTATTTTCATCTGAAGAAATTATAGCTTGAAACTGTGGCGAGAAATCATATCTTCAAACACCATTTAATTGATTGGGATCTCCATTTTTGAGGAATTGGACGAAATCCTCAATATATCGCCGATGAAGCTCGGTGTCCCCAAAAATGGCGGCAGCCTCTCTGGCCCGCTTCCTTATCTCTTCTCCTTCCTCTGAAACCATAGCTCCTTTCAGAGCTTTGGCTATGGCTTCTCCGGTGAAAGACCCGTCGTCTTCATTTCTTTCAACCTCAATCGCAAAGCCCTTCTCCACCAGAAACCTCGCATTCAGCGGCTGATCGATGATGAACGGCAACACTACAAGGCAATGCCCGAATTGCAGAGCTTCAATGGTGGATCCCCACCCCACGTGAAACATACACCCTCCGATTGTCGGATGCGCCAAAATCTCCATCTGCGGGGCCCACCCCATGCTCGTGATCCCTCTCTCCGCCGTCCTCTCCAGGAATCCGACCGGAAAAGCGTCGGAATCCTCCGTCGCCCAGGCCGGCTTTCTCAGAGACCATAGAAATGGGAGCTCCGAGAGCTCCACTCCACGCGCTATCTCGTGAACTTGATCTTTCGTGAGTCTCCACTCGCTGCCAAATCCGACGAACACCACGGATCGGGGATTCTGTTTGTCGAGCCACTCAAACGTCGATTTCCATGGCGAATCGGCGGGGAGCTCTGTTTTTTGGGGCTTTTCCGGCGGGAGAAGCCCTAGAGGAACTACTTTTTTTCCACAAATTTTGCTGTATAAATTCAAGTATAAACCATCCGATTCGTCGCAAGCACGAAGCAGAATCGCTTCACAGGCGGAATGAATCTTCGCCACCCGCTCGCGAACACTCATCCCGCTCTCGTCCTCCACAGGAAATTCAGAGAGCATCGTAACGGCTTCAAATCGTCGAAACGACACCGTCGACCGAAATTCACCGATCTGGATCGGCGTCGTGAGCTTCTCCACATCCGTTGGCCCTTCTCCGAAAACCTTCTCCACGAACGCGAGAAATCCAGCAGAGAGAACGTTGAAGAACAGGATCGGGATTCGGAAGTCTCGAGAAACGTCGCAGATCCAAGTCGCGTTAAAATCGACGATGAACCAGTCCGGCGGATTCGGATGACCGGCGACGAAGCTCCGGAACGCCGGCTCGGCGAGATCTAGGGCTTTTTGGAGATAAGGAACCTTGTCGAGCGGGAGGTCCACCGTCGCCTCGGCGCCTTCCGGTAGGAGATCGCCACCGAGCTGAATGGGGACGAGAGTGATGAGGGAGGCGAGAGGTGGAGGAAGTTTTGGGAGTCTCTGTAGATTTCTAGGAGTGGAGACGAAGGAGACGTGGACTCCGGCTTTGGCTAGGGCTATGGAGAGATGAAAATTGGGAATAATGTGGCCGAATGCGCACCATGGAAATTGAAGAACATGGAGTTTTTTTCCCGCCGCCATTGAAGGTACCACTGAAGCTGCTCCTTCCTCTCTGCAACTGTGTTTGAAATAAGCAACCGCTTTCCCTGTGGTTGGTAAGAGATGTGGCTTAATATTACTAGTGCATTTTAGCAATTACATTATTTACCTATCGAGACGTGTAACTCTATCTTTTTGACACGTGTCTATTTGTCAAATTATTAAAAGTGCCACATACCTTGTCTCTATACTTAAAAACTCTTAGTCTTATTGCATTTATTGCTACTCTCACTGCCATTCTGGATGGAATGCTAAAATAAAAAGAAGGGATAAGAGCAGAAGAGAAGAAACCAAACAAACTGAGAAAGAGAAGGTAGGAGAAAGAAAAAAGAGAGAGAAAAAATAGGGGGAAAAATGAATTGAAAAGAAAGAGGGAATGGCTAATATAAAGCCACGTGGGTTGAAAAATGTAAAAGAAAAAAAAAATCTTCACATGATTCAGGTGAAATATATATGAGTATTTACTTTGATTTGTTTATTATTATATTTTACTTTTTTTACCCACTTTTCTTCTCTAACTGAGGTGGCTCTTTTATTGCCATTCCTTCTTTTTCATTTATGTTTTCTCTCTCCACCTATCTTCTCTTTCTTCTTCCCCTCTCTTCCCTTTCGCACTCATTTTGAACAACTCTGATTTCTTCTAAGAATCGACCAAACCGATCGGAACGATTGGTTGAACTGTCGATTTGTATTGAGAGATAAAAAAAAAGATTTTGACCGATCGAAACCGATTATGTTGGTTTTTAGCGTTGGGGTTGGCCAAAAATCGACCCCGACCGACCTAGCCTACCACTTCTCAATTTTATTTCATAGGTAGTAAATTTGAATGGATTCGATTAGTCTTTTTCAAAAAGAGATTATTATATTAATAGTCTATTTATGAATCATAGTGACAATTGAAATGTATAAAATTTAACACTAGTGTATCTTAAGATACACCTCAATATTAAATAATTTTTAAAATCTAGAAATGGTAAATTGCGAGGTTACACTTAAATCCCTTAAAATGTGCTTAATTATAATTTCCAAAATAAAAAAATCCCCAAAATCATCCATTTTCGAAACCCCTTTCTTTGTCTTCCGACTGATTTTTCTTTTCTTACTCCAACCATCCGTTTTTCTTTCTCTTACCGTTTGTTCTTCTTCCTTCGACCGCCTGTCTTTGTCTGCCTTCTCCTCCGACCGGCTCCATTTTTCTCGATTGTCGTCTCCGTTTATTCCGTTCGAAAGGAGATTTTCGTTCTTCCTTCTTCTCCAGTCGTTTCTGCTTGCCTTCGTCTCCGGCCGACGTCTGCTTGCCTTCATATCCGACTGCCTCCATTTTTCTTCGTCGCCAGAGCAGTTCGTCTCCGTTTATCCTGATCGGAAGCTTTGCATTCAAATGGTTGTTTTTGATTTCTGATTTCATGTGAACTATTTGTATATATGCGGATATGCGGATATATACTATAATGATTTTGAATGTATATATGCGGATATATATGGGGATATATACTGTGATTGTGAATATATTTTTTGAATATGCGGATATATGTTTATTGAGACTTCAAAAGATGTTTACGTGATTTTGAATTGTCCTTGAAGTTTGAGCACCTGTAGGAGCGAATTTAGGAAAAATCAATATTTTTGAATGAGTAAATTAAGGTTTTAAATGAGTGAATTAAGCCATTTATGTTGAAAATTAATATGGGATCCACAATAATTAAATAATTGTGATAATAATTTATGGAATTAAATTTTTTATATTTTAAAAAAACAAATAAATATAATAAATATAAATACAATAAATAAAAATTAAATCAGAATTAAAATAAAATCGTGCAAGAAACCTAAAAATGTGAAATTAGAAAATTTTGAGAGACATGGTCTCTTTTAAAAATGACTTTTACAAAAGGTCTGTATCAACGGTACAAAGTGGACCCCAATTTGACTCGCCCTCTTCTTCCCATTCGTTGGAGGGGTGTACATTAATTTTCAAAAAGCAACCAAAAATTCAGAACAAATCGATTAATTTTCCAAAAAAAATCGTTGCAGTGCTCGCCACCTCTGCTCTCATAAATGCTGACTGATGTGGTTGTTTAAAGTTTGAGATATTTTTGAAAAAGAGTAAAATGTTCAGGGATATTTTTTTTTGTAATTTAACATATTATTTATTCTATTTGATCAAATATGATATAAAAATGTAACTTGAGTCTAGCTTGATTAATTAAGCGCAGTAAAAAAATGGAAAGTTTGAATATTATTCTGTATTTTTTAAATTAACGAACAGATGTTACAGCGGTTAACTTTAAAATTCAAACTACACCTCATGAAAGTTTATCAAAATGGAATGTGTCTAAAAACTCACTTGTAGGATTAATAGAGTAAACTGTTGCCAAAGCGAGTATAACTTAGCGGTAACTTTTAAAGAATGATGATAACTCTGGACATAGGATAGATTGTATCTTTAATGATTTTCATTTTAATTTTTATACTTTTGAACCTTCATTTTAACTATGGTACTTTTTAAAAACGATAGTTTTGTACGGAGGCATATCTATTAAAAAAATCTATTTTGGTATAATATTTTTAATAGTTCATTTTATTTCCGGTAATTTTTAAACTTTGAAAACATTTATTATATATTAAATAGTTTAACAAAATTCCAACTTAATCTAATTATAAATATTAGAGATTTGTCCATATTAAATGGAGTAGATTTCGCCCTATTCTATTCAACTTAAATTTTTGTCTATTTGATATAATTGTTGCCGCTAATTTCAAAACTAATAAATTATTACCTATCTAATTTATGAATTCTTGAATTAGTTATTGGTAAATCATTTTCACTAAATTTGAAACAAAGTTGATTGAACGAAAGTTCTATTTTCCTCCCACCTTCATTTTATTTTATTTCTTTCATTCTTTCAATATCAAACCCAATAGATTTTTAGAACATAAAACATCAAAACCAAAAGCTATTTTCTTCCAAGAAATTCAAACATGAAAACTATTGCAAGAGATCGTATCTTCGAAACACGATGATTTTTATTGATTCGAATCCCCATTTCTAAGGAATCGAACGAAATCCTCTACGTATCGCTGATGAAGCTCGGTGTCCCCAAAAATGGCGGCAGCCTCTCTGGCCCGCCTCCTTATCTCTTCTCCTTCCTCTGAAACCATAGCTCCTTTCAGAGTTTTGGCTATGGCTTCTCCGGTGAAAGACCCGTCGTCTTCATTTCTTTCAACCTCAATCGCAAGGCCCTTCTCCACAAGAAGCCTCGCGTTCAGCGGCTGATCGATGATGAACGGCAACACGACAAGGCAATGCCCGAATTGCAGAGCTTCAAT